TTTGCCCTTTTCTGGTCCGTTTTGAAGCTGCTCCCCAAGGTTTTTGATCCCGGCTGGGTCCGGGCGCGGCGTTACTGTGCGGCTGCGTGGGATGAGATGTGCGAGCTCAGCGCACACAGCTGACGCTCCCAGCGCGCAGCTTGGCTCTAAAAGCTCCTCGGCCTTCCTGACATGCTGGCTCCAGGCTCTTGGGGTCTTTCTCAGTTTAAGGATTGCCTGGGGTCCAGTGGGATGGTCAGGGCTGGAGCACAGGACAGACGGGGAGACACTGAGGCAATAGGCTTGTTGAGCCTGGAGAAAAGGAAGCGAAGGAGCGCCTCAAAGGATGCTTGTGATATCCAAAAGAAGGTTACAGAGGACAAAGCCAGGCTCTTTACAGAGCACGCAAGACGACGGCCATAAATTAAAACACAAACGGGTAAATTAAGCCCTGCGACAGCCCCGAAAGGCTGTGTGAGCTCTGTGTCTGGCGAATACTCAGCGCTCGACTTGAGCAACCTGCTGGAGTTGGCCCTGACCTGCTTTGGTCAGGTGTGGAGCCGAGAGCCCAGTCCCATTCCACCTCATGCGTGCAAGCTCGGTGTTTGCAGACGGCACAGGGACAAAGTCCCCTCCTGACCGGGGCTGGGCTCTGTGGAGAGCAGCCAGGTTCCCTTCTTACACCTGCTTGCTGCTGCTGCTCCTATTTACCTTTTTTTGGCCTTGGCACGGCTGGGTGGAGAGCTTTTAAAAGGAGCTCGGCTCCTGCTCTGGGTTTTTCAGGGGATCCTGGACCAGCCTGTGATGCCCTGTGCAAGGGCAGGTGGAGAAATCGCCTGCTGCTCCCTGAAATCCCTGGCCTCAATCTCACTGAGTACTGAGGATCTGTTCTTGCCCTGTTTGAACAATATGGGGCAGCAGAAAGGAACTATTTTTTTCAGCCTTGGCTTGATTTGAGAGACCACAATCCCTTTGGGAGAGAGGAATTGAGGCTGGTTTTGGGGCTCTGTCTTTCCCATGACCTGTGAGTGCTAATATCTGTATCTGGTCTTTCCCAGCTCCCCCGAGCAGGAGTCCGACGAGAGAAAATGCAACTATGAGCGATACAGAGGCCTGGTGCAGAACGACTTTGCTGGCAGTAAGTGTCCCCTGCAAACGGGGGAGTCGGGGCTGAGCTGGAAATGGCTCTGCTGAGGCAAAGCAAGCCCGAGGCACCGTTCCCAATGCCAGCTCCAGGCTTCCTTGCTGGGAATTGCCCAGGTTATGGCTGGCCCCTTGCTCCCTGTGGGGTTTTGTGGGGGAGTCGAGGTGGCAGCAGCTACACGGCGCAGGGACAGGCTTGTTCCTTCTCAGCCTGGTCTGCAGGAGAGCTGCCACGTGCCCCAAGCCCTCTTAACGAGCTGTGGTGAATCAGCTCTCAGACCAAGCTGTTCTCTTTCAAGCAGGCATAAAGTAGGCTGGTAACTTCTCTTCTGTGTCGTTCCAGTCTCTGAGGAGCAGTGTCTCTATCAGATTTACATCGACGAGCTCTACGGGGGACTCCAAAAGCCAAACGAAGATGAGAAAAAGAAGTGAGTGTGAAAAGGCCTCAGGGTAACGGAGCGGGTGTCACATCCACGTCCTTGGGGCTGTACTTGGGAGCATGGCTCCCCAGCCGCAGAACCACCCATCGCTCAGCCCAGCCCCAGTTTGCCCAGGGCACCCTGTACTGGGAGAGGTATGGAGCAGCCCCTGGACTGCGCTGTCCTTGCTCGGCTGCTCTTTGGCAACGCTCCGAAGTGGAATCTAGCTTGTTGTCCCCTGCGTCCCCATGCTGAAACGTCCTGCCTGGCCCTGTGGTTGCAGCCCTCTTGGGGACCTCCGGAGCTGGGGCTGAGCGCATTGATTTTGGCCAGGGGGAGGCAGAGAGCAGGCTAGTTTTATCCCAGGTAGCTTTTCCACTCTGACACCTTTGTATGCCGCTCGGCCCGGAGCAGCGGGATGGAGGGGAGAGGTGGACAGGGGCTAAGCATGTCTGTGCCTAGGCTGGCGGAGAAAAAGGCCTCCATCGGCTACACGTACGAGGACAGCACCGTAGCTGAGCTCGAGAACTCCTTGGAGAAGCGGGGGGATGAGGAAGACTCTGAGGAGGACAGCAACACGGATGAAGACGAAGTCATCCCCGATATTGGTAATGGCCCTGCCTTGCCACTGCCTGCGCGCTTGCCCTGTGACAGCTCTCCCGGGCTGTTTAACTCCCTTTTGGCAGACGTGATGCCCAAATCTGCCTCTCCATGGCTGCACCATCTAGAAGGAAGGACACAGGAGCATTTCCCTTCCGGCTGCCGGAGGGGATATGCAGTGCCACGTGCTGTGCTCTCTTGGCTTTGCTAAACACAGCACAAAATCAGGCTGTGCGCAGCCTTGAACTGCTGCTGCAGTGAGTCTGGCCAGGCCTGGGAGGAAGCACGTCCCCTTGCTGCATGGGGGATTTTTCCCCCCGGGGTCTCCGAGCACGCTGAGCCTTCCCATGCTCTGCTTGCAGATGTCGAAGTGGACGTGGACGAGTTGAATCAGGAGCAAGTGGCCGACCTGAACAAGCAGGCGACCACATACGGCATGGCAGAGGGGGACTTTGTCAGGTAAGGCTCACGGCTGAGCTGAGACCCCAGCCTCGGTGGGTCGGGAGAGGCCCAGGACCCTGGCAGAGCCTTGCCGAAAGCCTCCCTTTTCCCAGCGAGGGATGAATCCTCTGTGGTTGCCCCCATTTTTAGGATGGGGGCTCTGGAAACAGGCGCGGTATGGGTGACTGGGACGAGGTGACTACGAGGCCTTGCTTGGTGCTGCCGGACAGCCGTACAGTCTGTCTGTGGAGGGGCTGGGGACTCTGGCAACGCCTGGTTGAAGATATTTTTTTCCTTTCTGGAAGGATGCTGCGAAAAGACAAAGAGGAGGCAGAAGCAATTAAACACGCCAAAGCCTTGGAAGAGGAGAAGGCCATGTACTCGGTAAGGGCAACTGTAACTAGCTGTGCCCTGTCTTGCTGTATCGCTGCAAGCTGCTGAGCCTTGGCCTGGCTGGGAGCCTCCCAGAGCACTGGGGCATCTGTGCCGGTGCACGTGGGATCCCTCCATGTTTGCACAGGCACCTCTGCCTCCCCGCTTGGGGTAGGGAGGGCGCAGGGGCCTGTAAACACCTGGGAAGGCATCCTGAGCCCGTCCCGTCTCCTAGCTCCTGGGCTGCTTTCTCCTAGGGCCGTCGCTCTCGTCGCCAGAGGAGGGAGTTCAGAGAGAAACGCTTGAAAGGGAGGAAAATCAGCCCTCCCAGGTGAGCTCCGCGCAGTCTCCAGCCAAGCTACAGCTCGGCCCCACTCGTGGTCTGCTCATCTCCGTCCTGCCCCAGTGTCTGGGCAGCTCTTCACTGCCCGAAACAAGGCAGCTTTGCTCCAGGGACCTCTGTCTCAGGCTCCATTTGTGTACAAGCCGGCTGCATGAGCTTGCATGCGCCACAAGGGTGCAGGACAATGCAGGCTGGGGACAGGCTGCTTTTCCTGAGATTTGACCTCTGGTTTGGGGCAGGTGCCAGGTTTCATCTCGCATTTTTTGGCTTTGCCCATAAGTCTAGCGAGTCTTGCAGTGCTTGTCCGCTCTGCGATACCTTGACCGAGGGGTGAGCGCTGGCTTCTTAGGCCTCTATCAACAACTAAAAGGCAGTTAACAACTTGGCTCTTCTGCCAATTGGTGGTAATTACAGCCCTCCCTCTGTCCTGGCGGATGTCACCTTCTGCCAGCGGGGTTTCCTGATGCTCTGCTTGCACCCGAAGCCATCATTTGAAAAAGGCCTTCAGGTGGGGCTGTGTGCCCTGGAGACCTCCTGCAGGCACACAGCCCTAACAGTCTCTCTCTTGGCAGCTACGCCCGAAGAGACAGCCCCACGTACGATCCCTACAAACGGTGAGCATCTCCCGGGAAGGGATGGGTGAGCGGGCTGTCCTAGTTCTGCGGGTCCTGGCGTTCGCTGAGGAACGTGGCACCTGGTGGCTCTGTGCTTTTGGGAGGGAACGTTTTCGGCAGCTCCCTTCTCCCGAGCTGAAACCACTTCCCTCCCGGCTGCCTCGCAGGTCTCCCTCAGAGTCCACCTCTGAATCCCGCTCCCGTTCCCGCTCGCCATCTCCTGGCCACGAGGAGAAGATCACCTTCATCACCAGCTTCGGCGGCAGCGATGAAGAGGCGGCGTCCGCGCAAGCTGGCGGCGTCCCCGGGAAAGCCACCTCGCTCGGCAAACAGCGCTCCACCCCAGGGCAGCCGGGCAGCACTGCGGCAGGTCATAGCACCTCTTCCCGGTCGGTAACTCTCCCATCTGGCTCGCTTTCCCAATCCTTAACCGCAGAGAGCACAGCAGGGGCCAGGCAGACCGCCCAGCCCCTCGTGGGCCTGGAGCCGGGATGGTTCTGCTCGGAGACGCTGGCAGGGGGCTCTCCCGACATCCGTGGCCTGGCTGCTGGCCCTTCTCAAAGGGGGAATGTCCCAGGAGGGAGTGGGTGGCTCATTGCAGCAAGGCCGGGGGAAGCCATGCAGAGCTGCCGAGGGTGGACAGGGAGAGATTTGAGCAGGTGGCAACTGGAAAGAGGCTGTGTCCCCGATTCAGTGAGCCGTGGGGCAGGCGTACGGGGCTCCAGGTTGCCTGGTCCTTCTTGCCAGGTCCCGGCAGGTGCCCACCCAGCTCTGCTGCTGGGCCGGGGCAGAGGGAGATGTCGTGGTATCAGAGCAAAGCTTGTTGGCTCACAGAGAGGGACTTTGCAGCACCTCTGGGCCCTCCTGGAGTTTGTGGGATGGGGGATTTGGGAAGCAGAAACGCAGGTGTGACTCAAACCTTCTCCTGTCCCTAAGGAAAGGGAGCATCTGGGTTGTTCCTTGGGAGGTTGGGGAGGGAACTGGGCAGTGACCATCGCAGGCCATCTCTCAGCGCAGCATGTGGCTTGCTGCCCCACAAGGAAATCTCTCTTGCACGAAGCTGGGCAGTTTTTGAGCCGTTCTGGCTGTGCCAGGCCAGGGATCAGGCCACAATGCTGACGCAGGGGAGGGGAGGTGGCTGCTTTCTCCTCCCAG